CTGGAGCACAGTTGGTACCAACAATCCCTCCCCCTTTCCTTTCAGCCTGGAAAAGTTGGCCACTGTTGTGTTTAGAGCATGAGAAAGCCTCATCAGTGCATTTGTGTTTCAGCACAGCTTGTGCTGTTCCTCAGCAGAGCTAACTCTCCTCTCCACTCCACACTTAAATTTGGRATTGAAATTTGCTGTTGCCTTGTTTCTGACAGAGAAGCACCTCTCCACTTCCATCCAGTCACCCACATTCAAAGGCTCCTACATGGTAAAAAACTTCACTAAAGGCAGGCAGGGGACGTGGCCCAGACACATTAAAACATTGTAATGAGTCGTGATTAAACAACAGCCCTAATGAGGAGGCAGAATAAACCATGAAAAGCTTCTCTTGCATTACACACACACAACTCCAGGCCAGTAGGCAGCCACCAACAGGCCAGGGAATGAAGAAAATGCAATTAYTGGACTGTTTAGAGACTCCACAGAAAGGTCCTTGTGCCCAAGGCAAGCTATCCTATTTCACAACAGCAGTGCTCCAAATTTGCAGAGGATACACATCACCCTTTCCAGACAGACCTCATGGGTCACTTACTTGTTTAGGATCAACAGTGGCTGCTGGGGACTCCAGTTCTATTGTTACAGGGCCATCGTTCTGGATGTGGACCTGCATGTAGGCACCGAACTTGCCATCTGAAAAGGGAAGAGACAACAAGTGCTGAGGATAACACACACCAAAGTTTTTAGCAAGTGTGCTGTCAAAAACAAATAAAAAATAAACAGAATGGCAGACAATTACTGAGCTGCAAACAGCTACTTAGAAAAAAAACAGTGCATGTGCACCCAACCATGTAGTTTGACATTAAGACTGCATTAAGGACAAATACACAGCTAAGTACAGAAACATGAACAAACAAACCAAGTCCACAGGTAATCAAGGGTCCACAGCTCAGGATAGGGAGGACGGTTCTCTTAGGCAGGAGATGAAATTTTAAAGGATGTAACAGCTAAGCCTAGTCCARCTGAGCAGTTGATGTTTTGAAGAAACTTTATGTCTAGGCAAAAGAGAAGAAGACCTGGAGCCTGCTCTGAAGCATTTGACCCTGAATACCCTACAGCAGGGGACACTGGTGTGCAGCTCAGCCCCAGTCTGCCACAGCCATTTCCACATTCCTGTTTGTCCTTTGGGAGTTACATAGATGTAACCCATACTCTGTGACCACAAAACCCAGTCAAAACTGATGCATCTCTGTTTAACAAAATAATAAACAAAGAATATTCTCTTCATTAGTAGGAGCACATTTCAAACTGCTCTCTACATATTGTTTCATCCCTCTGCTGCACTTTAGTCACAACAAAGGACGGCCTTTTCAACTTTCCATCCAGTAAGCTCCCATCTTTACCAGAACACTCAAAGCACCCCCTRTCACAAGCACTTTCTGTCTAGTTTTGGCACCAGAACTACTGTCAAGGAAACATCCTTCTGTAACAGCTCCCTCCCGTTCTCCTCACACTCCAACTTCCAGTTACTGTTCCTCAGTGTAGTAAATCTTCCCCCACTTTAAAACCCCTTGACTGATCAATTCATCTTGCAACATCTTCTGCAATAAAATAGGATCCTGGAAGTATCATTCAAGGGATAAATT